GAGGATATGACATTCCAGCAGGAACTGAGGTAACTAACTAATCTTCTATTTCTATGGGAATTTATGCTCTACTTCGATATTTTATATTCTTAACACTAATTAGTTGAGCTTGTTTGAATATCTTAATGTAGTAAGGGAAGGATAATCACAAAAACTACTCCTGAAATTTTTACCAGAACGATCTAGAAAAGTTTGAACTATGAAAGAAGGGATAAAAAGTCAAACTTTGTGGTTGTATGCTTTATATTTGAGGTTTACACACTAAAGAATTTTAAATCTTTGATTTTATTTTTTAAATTTTTTTTAGTCATTAATTCGATCATATGCCAACTTGCACCTCAATCTGAAGGATAAACTCATTATAACTTTTTCGAGAACCTTACCTTAGATCCAAAATCATTGAATGTCTCAGAAAATTGCTAACTGAGGCCAACTTTTCATGCAGATTGCTATAAATATCTTCGGATGTAACATGGACAAGAAAGTATGGGAAAGTCCTGAAAGCTGGAAACCAGAGAGATTTCTCGACGAAAAATACGAAACGATGGATTTACACAAGACAATGGCATTTGGAGCTGGGAAAAGGCTCTGCCCCGGTGCCTTACAAGCAATGTTGATATCTAGCTTGGCAATCGGTCGATTAATACAGGACTTTGAATGGAGGCTTAAGGATGGAGAAGAAGAAAATGTCGATACGCTCGGGCTCACGACCCACAAGCTTCATCCGCTGCATGCAGTTTTAAAGATGAGAAATTGACTTAGCTCAATCATGACATTTGCTTTGGGATAAGTCAAAGTTTGGTTCAAACTTTAGGGTTCATGTGTGGTTTTGTTTGTATGATACCTTGTAAGAACACAATTAAGTTGTAACAGCTTCATGGATGTTCAGTATGTACTATGTATGTTCCTCCATCATCTTATCCAAAAATTTTTATTGGAACACCACATTGCATTATTAATGTTCTCTGTTGGAATGTGTCAATCAATCTATATCTATATATATCTATCTATATCCACACTATTATAAAAGGATGAACGGTGTTTGTAAAAAAATGAACTACAAGCTTGTACTTTTACATATTTTTTATGACTAATTATTAATACACTAATACTCATTTTATCTTATGTTTTTAATGAATTACCTAAAGCATTCTTACTTAAATACAAATATTTATTTAATTAAATATAAATACACGAAAAAAACATTACACATCTCCTAAAATCAACTATAATATTCTCGCATCATTATTGATGTGCTGTTGGGGTGGATCCCACTGATGTGGTGGTGAGAAAAATGACCACCTTGCCCTTAATGTATTTAAAAATTTAAATATATATATTTTTTTTTAAATCATTGGATGGTCAAATTATGTGGTTAAAATTTATTTTTATTATTTTCACATATCATCATTCTCACCATAGCAAGATCATAAATATATGTGTGTGTGTGTGTGTGTATGTGAAATTTTATTCTATAATTTTGCACTGACACAACGTTTGACACATTGGTTCGAAGACATCCTCGGTAATTAATAAGTCAAATTTTAACATATTTGCTAACAAGTTTTAATTATAGTCATTGTATATTTGGGCAATTTAAACTCCATATTAATTAACAAAATGTTACTTCAAAATACAACATTCATATATCTTCATTGACTCTTCACGAAAATTAATTGTTAAATTATCAAAATTTGAAGAAATGTGACGTTTTGTAAAAGACCACAAATACAACACAGCCGTTAATATCTTCCAATCAAAAATTAATTTCGTGAATTAGCAAAAAAATAGTACCACCACCCACGTACATCACACATGCACTTTACGATTTAATATAAACTAGGAAGATGCACGTGCTACGCACGTAATATTATTGGTTTTTTTTACCTAAAACATTATTATTATTATATTTTATTTAATAATGCAATATAATTTGTTTTCATTATTAACAAAAATTGTGTATTTTATGTATAAAATTTAATACTATTAACAGAATTCTAAGACAATTAAAATTAAATAAAAAATATTTGGTTAAAAAATCTAAAATAAATTTAATATTTTTTTGTGAAATTTTAAATGCTAAAGAAATTTATGTCGTCCTTGATTTTGCTATTTAGTGATATCATCCTTAATGCTTAAAATAATGATCATTATTATTGTCAAAATAATATTTTTTTAATGTCTTCCTTTTGCGTCTTACTATTTGAAAAATACCTCGAATTTACTATAACTATAATTTGTAATTATCATTTGCTTATTGTTGATTGGAAGCTAGCACTATGGTTGAATGTTTCGTACTCTATTATTTTAATTATAACTGTTGCAAATTCAATTATATTTGCATTTGTAATATTTCGTAATATTTAGATATATATCTTGTCTTTGCATATAATGATATAAGAGATATAAATATTTTAAAAAATCTTTAAAGTCGAAATTATTTATAAAAATTACTTGAAAATTATTAGGAACAATAACATATTTGATTGATTAACGGTTCCCATCTATCTATATTAATTGTTGTAACACTGGGTGATTGAAGGTACCTAATACCTATCTATATATAGTGTCCAAATAAAATAAAAATAAAATATTGTTACATCTCCTAACATTGTCATGCATGCATTATCATATTCGTTCATGGATTTTTAAGAATATCCAAAAAGTGAAAAATAAATAATTTTACATGCATGTTCACTAAATTGTGCCTCTTTAATTTTTTTTAATTCTATAACAAAAAATATCTATAGTAAAATTTAATATTTGTAAATTAGAAATGATACTTTCATTGGTGCATTATATATTTTACACTTATAAAATAAACCTTATTTTACTTATAAAACCTTAAAATAATATTCTCTCTTACATTCAAAAACTACATTTTCCATATTTTTTTTATTTCTAATTTATATATTGTTTACGTAATCTTAACGTCTTCATATCAACTAAAAGAAATTAAATTATTGAATAGGTAAAATATAAAAAAAAAAATCTTAAGATAATAGATAAAAAAAAAAGTAGAATGAAAAAAATATTGATTGAAAAAATGATTGTAACTATTAATATTTGTAACCCCCTAGGAGTTGTAACAAAATGACATTAGTAACCTTAGAAATTAATTATAGCGTATGAAATTTTCGACAATTCAATCTTTTCAAGAAACAACTTTCCCTTATAAGATAGTTATTTAAAAATTGAACTTCAATCCATTTTAATTATTCTAAGGATTTAAAATCCCATAGTAATAAAAAATGAGTTAAATTTATTTTGCTTAATTTAATTTGATTAAACTAAAAAAGTAAGTAGATTGTATATTTCATAAAATTTATAATTTTACTTATAAAAAATTGATTATTATCGAAGAAACTTATTACACATGATATCTACTACTTCAGTGTGTTTTTACTAAATTTTGAAAATGACAATGCACATTCACGGCCATTCAACTGTAATTAATATAAAAAATATATCTTATATTAGAGTTAATAATAATGATTTGTAACTCATTTTCTCACTTTTAATTAAAAGACTAATACATTCTCAACGTTGAAAATAGACTATACTACATCTATTTATCACATATCAAATAATCATATATATGGCATTAAATTGGAATTATTAAATTGGTATGCATATAATTGATTAATGCATTGGATTCTTGTAGCTTGTGCTATTTTTGTTGTCTTGCTAATTGTTTGTTGTTTTCTTGTCAGGTATAACTTCATACCTTTTTTTATTTATTAATATCATTTCTTTTTTTTTTCATTTGATGGTTCTAGAAAAAGCTTTTGCTGGGATTTTTGACTGGGAAAGGTGTATAAATATTTTTATATTTGATAAAAATAAATAGATAAATTTATTTGATATTTGATAAATAAATTTATTTGATATTTGAAACAATTTTAGTTGTTTATATTATAAGGAGTAAATGTATTATTATTTGAAACAATAAACAATTTTAGTTGTTTATATTATAAGGAGTAAATGTATTATTATTTGAAACAATTTATTTGTTTATATTATTTATTAGTAACAAAGTAACAATATAAAATTACTTGTGGAGGAGTAAACGTATTTACTTGTGGAGGAGTAAATGTTATTAATATTATGAAATTACATTTATGTACTTAAAAGCTAGATTTGTAGAGGGTAATATGGGCATTTCAATTTTTTCAAGAAACAACTCATACTTTTAAGGGGGTTATAGATTAACA